GATTCCTTCTGTCCTTCCTTTCCCCTCCCTTTCTGCCCAGGACTTGCACTACAAAAGCCTGTGGCTTGGACTGTATTTCCAGCTATATGACAAAGGTACATCAAATACCTACCCTGAAGGTGCCAGACTAGGGCTACTGAACTTACACGGCATGTGGCTCTTTAAACCTCCCAACCTGCTGGATCTGGTACATTAAGTCCCCGCCATTCACGTATTCCATCACAAAATACAAGCGATCCTAAAGAAAAAAAGCAAACAATTAGCAGCAGAATTATGAGAGCAGGGAATCTGCAGGGGTCAGAAATAAGGGCCAAGGCAACTGACAGCTCCAGTCTATATTTTTCATGGCGATACAATTACCACCATTGCCCTCCCCGAGGGGCGCAGGTGGAGCTCGTGCTCAGGCAGAGCCCACAGGACAGATGTACTCATTCCTTTGCAACGCTCTGGACTTCAGCTCTGCACCTTTGCAGACAGATCCGATGGAGAAATCAAGTGGAGAAATTCCTAAACCAGATGTTTTTCACTTCCCATTAATAAATCTGCTCTCATTCTTCACCGAAGCCATTTTGCGGGGTGTTTGATCAGACAGCTCCTCGCTGGCGTTTCCCCAGGCACTGCACGGCTTCAACCGAGAGATGCACAAGAGACGCGAGCAGTTCCTACGGGGACCGGTCCCCGTGCGCAGGCAGTGACCAGCACGGTTTGGCCGAGCACCCGGAGGGGTGTGCGACGTTCCCGGCCCACCAGTCTCGCCCTCGCCCCGGGAGCAGCCTGCGGCAGTGCCGGGGAGGCACACATCTGCCGGGGACCCCGCAGCCCCCCACCACGCCGGGGAGGCAGGAGGAGGCTGCATCCCCTCTCTCCGCTCCTCCCAGCCTGGTCTGAGGGTGCACTTAATGTTCACACACGGTTAATGAATTAATTGTTAAGAGCAGAACAAACAGGTCAATCGGTGACTTTGAATCAATTAAAACACTTGCCAGTAGGTGCAATCACAGCCACCTATAAGCACACGCTGACTTTGCCTCTAATGTGTAAAACGCACTTTGCTTTCACTAATTAAGACTCTCCAGATGAAAGCACCCCTCCTCTTCCACAGTGCGGCAGCCACGTAGGGGCCAACCTGAGAAATTCCCACGTAAGGCTCTGAAGCGATGTGTTTTTCCCGCACCACGCTGTCCCCAGGGAAAGCCAAGCCCGGTGCAGGGGCCGGCGTGGGCTTGTACCGTGCACTGCCCTTGACTGCGGTGAGCTGGCAAGGGTGTCAGATACATGGCACGGCTCCTGCCTTCATTGCTAGCGTTAGTCCTGCTGGATGTAAGCCCAGTCCTCTAAACATCACTACAAATTTGAGAAAGCGTGGGCCATGATCAACATCGAGGAGAGCAAGAAGGCACGAAACAAGACACAAGCATTCCCACAAAGCTCAGATTAATAAAACAAAAGGTGCTGGAGCTTATCGTGCCGCATCCCGAACAGAGCCCTAGCACGAGCCCTGCAAGTCCGGGGAGGCAGAGGAGATTTGGGCAAGCGGGAGCTCCGCACCAGCCACACCTTTACCCTGGGGAATCCGTGCCCTTGAAATGCCACTTCCCTCCGATGTTTCCCAGCATTTTTTAACGGGAAATGGCTGTGAAGAGAATCGTGCAAGGTTGCCCAAACCACCAACCCAAACCCTTGCAGGACGTTTCTTGGGGAGGGATAAGCAACGGCTCTGGACCACGGGAGTGCATGCAGGAGTGGGACCCAGATTGCCACCCTCCCTGCCAGCAGACATCTCTGCCGTGTCACTTACGGATGAGAACAGCAAAGTGCTGCGTAACATCAGGCCTGAGTCACGCTTCTTGCAACAACCCACTTTCTACAGCCTTCAAAAACCAGTCGTGGGGCCTCGACCCACAGGAGCCCAAGGGCATCCCCGGGGTCGCTCCAGCCCTGGACCACGGGAGGAACGACACAAGAGCTGGAGCATCACGAGAGCTTCAGGTTGGCAGTTTTACATCATAATCCATAATATTTCCCATCTCTCATCTCCTCCATAAATAAACCTTGCCCTGCTTTCAAGACAGTAAGGACCAAGAGCCTAGAAGACAGGCAAACATGAGCATTACCATAACGAGGGCTACGGGGTACCGCGGGTAAATCAGCTCCTCCATCCCGGCACAGCACAGCCCGACGATGCACAGCCCATCCCGACAGCGGGGCGGCCTCACAGGTAATTAAATACAGTACCGAAGGGGCAATCAGGCAATGTAAAACATGTGGCACTGATGGGATAGAAAAGAGATTTTGGCTCATCAGATGACTGGGAATTTCGGAGCGTACCACTCTGTAAATGACTGCCTCTGCCAGGGCATCAATCCAGTTCAGCAGCAAGGCACCGGGCAGGCAAAGTCACCTTCAGCAGCCACCGCCACGCTAGTCATCCTGTGACGGTAACTGGAAAGCAAAGCAATATTGTGCTCATTCGCAGCTGTTTCCTAAATATATCGATCAGCTTCAAGAAGGAAGAATATTAAAAAGATGGTCTCTTGAAACAGCCAGCTGAGCTCTAAAATCAGGATTTGAGCTTTCCTCATTTGGGTGGAGAAGAGAATGCTGGTGCTTCAGAGAAAAAAACGCCATGAATAAAGCAGCCAGATGGCTGGCCAGCCTACAGGCTGGAAGAGAGGGATGGATACGGAAAGCTGTCCTGGCTCTTGTCTATGGCAGAAAAGGATGGGGGTCTGTCCAAGTCTGGAGCATCCGAACCCACGGAGCAACAGCAAGCTGCAGATACATAAATACCCCCTGCAGAGACTTGCGTGGAGCTGGGAAAAAACACACACCCCGCTTCCTTGGGCAGCCAAGACACAACTCCCCAGGCTCCTTCCAACGCCCTCCTTCTTCTAATTAACCACTCATTTGGTTCATCCCCTGCCTGACTCCGCACTGCCAGCAGAGCCACAGGCAGGACAAGAGCTGAGCTCCCCATCCCCGCTTCATCATCCCTTCTCAGTCCCCTGCTCCTGCTGTGCCCTTCGCTGCCCGGCCCCCGAGGGACGCGAGGTTGTCAGCGACGGCACGGCTCACCCGGGGACACCCGGCGCACCCCCGTCCAGGAGCCCAGGCTCGGACCCAGCACCTTTTTGGCACAGAGCACCCCAGGATCCCTCAGCCAGACCAGCACGGGCTCCTCTCGCCCTTCAGACCCAGGCAGGAGCGCTCTCTTTGCTCATCTTCTCTTCTTCCTTAAAGCGCCGATTTAGGGCTTTTCTCTCTCCCACCGCTCGCTGAACTAACAGCCCCGGCTCCCAAGTGTGCTCTGGACTGCGCTCCCAGAAATCAGAGTGCTTTGTGCCAGCATTTGATAATACACCCTGCTATACATTTTGATTACATTACAAATACGATTACTATTAAGCTACTACAGGTCTGCCAGGAACAATCCTGCGCTGACTCACTTCAGATGCCCGAGAGATGCCGTA